AAGTTACGTGGATTAGTTTATGGATTAATTTATATTTCTGTTATAATTGGTGGATTTAGTATTCTATAGGTACAAATTGATAATTAAGTGTCAACAAAGCAAAAATGATCAAAGAGTAAGAAAAGAGTTGCAATTAGGAAAATAAAATCAAATTAGAAGAGAGGATCCCTCAACATCTTCGGTAGTGTCCACGAAGTCGAGCATAACTTTATCATCCGGACTCCAAATCAACTGGTTCCGGCGGCATTAGAAAGCTATTTTAGGTAGCTACAATTTCTGTCTAATGTCAAATTTCCGAATTTGGACTCGAACATAGTCAAAATTGGATTCCAAAAGCGATCATGAAAATACGTGCTACAGTACGAGGACACGAATGCGCATCAATAAATGTGCACAAAAACACTCGCAAGAAAATATACGCACATAAGTATTAGTTCAAAAGTGATACGATCCAGAGATGCTCCATGACAAAGAATTGGAAGACGCGAAAGCGTACGAGTTCAAAGACATTATTCGAGCTGTCCATGGAGAGTAAAGGGCTGAATAAGACTATTGAAGAGTCCGTGGCTTGGAATTGGAAGAAAAGAAAGAGAAGAAGTCGTTGGACAAGTCGAATTCCATGCATCCGAGATTCTCGCCTATTCTGGCAGGGTTTACCATTCGGGTTATAACTCTCGCATCCGAAGTCCGATTGCGATGATTCAAAATGATTCGGAAAGCTAACTGAAAGATCTACAACTTTCATGTTTTGAGCGAAGAGATATTCGAAGTGGAACAGTGTCAAAATTGAGCTTTAATTGCATGCACGTGCACAGCCCAATGTCGCGAGATTAGAAGGGTGATCGAGAAGCCGACTTGAAGATCAAGTTATTTAGTTTACTTATTCACGTTTTTAATTTAGGTTTTATTATGTTTTTATTATTTTAGAGTCTTTTATGGTTAGGATTTGCTTATTTACAAGTTTCCTTATTATAGTTTAGGTAGGAGTCCTTTTCCTTGTGAAAAAGGAGTCTTTTTAGACCTTATAAATAGGTTGCCAATTTGGCTTATTTTCTAAGACGAATTTTAAAGAATATTTGAGTATTTTGAGAGTTAATTCTCCTTCGCTGTTCTACAGCAACCTTCGGGATTTTACAAGTGGATTCTTGTAACTTTCTTAGCGCCATAGTATTGGTTTCTGGTTCTCTATAACCACGGGGTCAATATTATATTTCACCTTGATAATAATGGTTTCTAGCTCTTTATAGCTATGGGGTCATTGTTCCGTGCTTCCGCCAAACTTGAATCTTTGTTTTTGGGTGTTTTCGATCTTGCTTCCGCGTAGGGTATTGGGTCTCGTAACAAGTTCTACGGGGTTCGTATCAGTTGGTAACCAGAGCCAACATCCAAAACAGGTTTCACCTATATTTTTTTTTTTGTTGTGTCTTCAAGTTTATCTCACCTTTTCTTGAGTTGTGTCGTCTAGAGTCTTCGTGAAAAAAAAAAAAAAAAAAAAAAAACGAATTTTTGCTTTTATTCTCTTTTCAGCCCGAAGATAGGGTTTGTCCGTGTCGAAAAAAAAAATACAAAAAATCGAATTTTTATTTTTTTTTAGATTTCTTTTCAGCCAAGTTAGGGTTTATTCGTGTCACAAAAAAAAAAGAAAAAGAAAAAAAAAAAAGTCGAATTTTGTTCTTGTTTAGAGTTCTTTGCAGCCCAAGTTAGAATTTCTTAGTGTCAAAAAAAAAAAAAAAAAAAAAAAAAAATATTTGTTTGGATCATGTCCGAAAAGGCCGGTTATAAGGGAGAAAGATTTGACCAGCGTAGGATGTCGCCATTGGTTAAACGCTTCCAGGAACTCCAAGATCGGATGGAAGGATTTTTTACCCAATTAAGGGAACTACGCAAAGATCAACAACTTGTCCGAGGGCCATACGTACGACGTGATGCTCACCAACCAGTTGTCCCTTATCCTGATAAAGAGGTAGATTATGATGGAAATTTTTGGTGTGAACGCTACAAAATCGAAGAGGGAGAGTATGGGACGAGGGTTCAGATTTGAACTTCGAGCCGAGGATATTTTGGTCGAGAAAGAGATGGAGTAGATCAAAACCGTAGCTCAATGAAGTTCATTATACCACCCTTTCAAGGTAAGAGTGATCCCGAGGCGTACATTCAATGGGAAAGAAAGGTTGAACAAGTATTCGGTTATCATTATTATTCCGAGAAGAGGAAGTTGAAGCTCGCCGTCGAAGCATTCATTGACTATGCAATTGCTTGGTGGGACCAATTTGTCTTAACTAGGCGCCGTTGTGGCGAACCACCAATTGAAGATTGGGAGTCCATGAAGGCAATCATGAGAAGGAGGTTCGTCCCTTCACAATATTATAGGGACTTACAATTGCAAAGGTTGAGGCAAGCTACTAAGTTAGAAGAACGTAGTTCGTCGCGGTGGGAATCGCAAAGGAGTTATCCAGCGAGCATGGTGAGAGAATCGTTGCAAAAGCCTAAAAGAGAGAAATCAAAAACCGAGCAGCAATTCAAGACTAAGAGAGGAGAGTGTTCGAGTAAGCAATTCGTGAACTTGTGGTCCAGCATTGAGGATGATTCTACGAAGGAGAAACAAATTATATACGTGTCACCACCGCAGAGAAATGATACCATTGAAATTCCCATGGAGGAAAACGTTGTAGACATCGTGGAAAATATTGGTGCAAAAATTGAAAGGATGCAAGATGAGATTGTTGAGTTGCAGCCCGAGGAGGATGAAAAGTGCAAAACCGCGCCACCACTTGAAGAAAAAGAAGGTTCGGATTCGAGGACGAATCCTTTTGAAGAGGTGGAGAATGATACGAGCCAGCCATGCATCGAAGTTAATGTCGAGCTAAGCAAAGTGCAAACTCTCAGTGTGAATGTTGATGAGATGGCGGTGCCTAGAGAGATGCTTCATCCATTCTCTATACAGAGGTGGAGAGGAT